TCTGTATGTAAAATATCATCATTAAAATAACTGGCTGTGTAGAGTATTGAATAACATCCATATGCATCCCTTTTTGCGGTGACGTTTCAGTTTTGCTTTGTGTGTTCAAAAACATTTCTATGGTTTTATAATCAAAAGAAACACTTAAGGATCATTCATTTTATTTCAGTACAAGAGAAAACAAACATTCAAGTTACAAATAAAGGAACATAATTCTCTATTTTAACACAATTTCTCTTGACATGATATAAATCTTTGGTGTAGCACCATGTTAATGTAATAAAACCAACATAACACTTTTTTAATGAACACATTTTTAATGTTTTTTAACTGTTTTTTTTAGCTCTCTCTGTGGTTGAAACTAATTCAAGTTGAAGGTGTTCTCTATGAGGAGTGTTTGAGGCTCTTCCGTTGTTCCTCCAGCTGTTGGCGCCAGCGTGCTGCTGGTGTCCTCTTCCAGGAGAGTGCAGCACATTTTCTTAGAACAGGCCTTTCCACAGGCCAGGCTGCAGGCCAGGGGCGGAGGTAGAGAGGGGACACTCCCTGCACTGCCTGAAGAGCATGAAGTAAACTCTGGCTGCACGGTGCAGCAGCTCACTCCCACACTCTGCAGCACCTTAGTGACGGCCAACATCAGATCAGCACACCTGGAAAAAGTCGAGGGATTCTGTGTTAACCAATACAACGTCAGTGATCTCCCCAAAAGCTACAAAATGAATGGGTTCTAGGGTTCACTTCAACTGTCACCCAGTGGGAGCTGCGGCCAGCTATGACGATGCACAGGATAAATGGTCACACATTATAAAGGACTGATGGACGATGATGTTTCTCTATAACTTGATAAAAAACACCAATGCACATTTTACAGCTTAAAGACCACGATGTCTTCTTACACATTTTTCATCGCAATAAACCAACTGAACATGCTGTGGTGACTTTGTTGTTTTTCTTGATTACATGTGATCACAGCACATTTTCTTAGAACAGGCCTTTCCACAGGCCAGGCTGCAGGCCAGGGGCGGAAATAACAAGAAAGTGATTCTTTGTTCAAATGATCAAGTGTCTATTAATGACAAGAAACATATGTCATTTCAAAATGAAGATAGTTTGAACTTTGAACCGTTTTTTGGTCAGTGTGGTGACAACATGATGATGTAGAGAAAACCTCGGTCAAATCAAATACCCAGTGAAAAGCTCTAAGATTGGTACAATACAGGACAGACCGCAGCAGGTAAGTCCAAAATGACAGTTGCCCCCACTTTGCTTTAGGGGCTTCTAGAAAAAAACCTGCTCCAACAGCCAACAGACAGTCACAATAGCTTTAATGTATCTTCTAATTTCTACAACCAGTCCACTTCCCTTTAATAAAACTTCTTTTGAAATCTCCAAAATCTAAAACATATATTGATTGCAAAACTTTTCCTGTTCACCTGTGTGCTGGAAACCAAGCATGGCACCGCACATGGACAGAGGCCACTGTGAATGATTCTGTTAACTGCCAGACATGGAGGTCGTGCACAGCCTGCACTCCATGGACGCCTGCAATCCTTTCTCCAAGATCAGACACACAAAGGTGTGGAGGTGTGGCCTGCAGCAGCAGCAGCCCGTACCTGTGCACCTGGAGGAGAGATGGCTCAGTGAAGTATACAAAGCCATGATGGTTGAGTCTCATTCTACCTGGCCTTATAAACGCTGTTGATATGTGCAAAGAGCAGTCATGTAATATGAGGTGACTGTGTCTTTATAAACTTCTCACACTTGCAAATATATCACAATTTTGAAAAGAGAGGACAATACAAATAAATATCAACACTGTTAATTGCCAACTTTTTGTAAACATTGATAATAGTATTAAAACCCTGCAATAACAACGTACTAAGTAAGTAAAACTGATTGTGTAATTATGTATCTCATAATTAGTTAGTAAATTGGGCGCTGCCTTCTGAAGCCTTTTTCAAATATTCCACAACTGGAACTTTCTAGGCTGCTTATAATTTGTGGGTTAACTGCTGACTTGTTCTGGACAGGAGCTTCAACATCATTTGAACTCAATGCTATGACACAAACACAGAGCCTGACCTGGGGCATAGCTGTGGCGATCAGCATGCTCACAGCCAGCAGAGACAGAACAGGATCGAGGTAAGGCAGGAGGCCGCAGGCTCCAGAGCCGTGCAGGCACTGTGGGCCGAACAGCAGCATCACCACGCTTTCGATCAGAGACAGGAGGGAAGAGAAAAGGCCCTGAACGACCAGGAGGAGAGACAGCAGGCAGATCGGCCGCTGGCCGCTCGGTGCGGGACTCTCAGGGTGATGTGATAACCTGCAGACTGGAACGTCTAAAAGGGAACAAAGAAGTGATAACAAATGAATACCCAACCTTTAAGCTATCACCTGACTACCTATTTTTATGTTTATGGTGAATTCCTGGTTTCCTCTTTAACGTAAACTATTTTCGCTTTTACGCTGCTTTCAGACATGCACTGAAGTCAAGACATTTTCCTGAACATTTTCAGAGGGGCTGTGTGTGTGAACACAAATGTCTGTATCAGTTGCTCCACTTATTTTCTGGAACTTTTCCTACCAGAAAAATGTGTGTGAGAATCCAGCAGTCCAGGAAAATTTGCAGCGAGCAAGTGGGCGTGTAAATTACAATTGTGAAAAAAAGAATACAAAAATCTCAGGATGAAAATGAACACAAGTGCAAGACACTGACGCAGACATCAACTAGGAAAGAAGGTGAGTTATGAGAGGTTTCTGGAAAAAAGGGCCGATGCTGGTCTCTGGAAAATGTCCAGACCCAAATTTTCTGGAGTTTGTGTCTGAAGATGGCTTTGTATTTATTTTGAGTAACAGTTAATCATTGAAAGTTAAAACATCAGAGAGCGAAATAATCCAAACACAAATGTCTCCTCTTCCACAGCTTTAAAATGTGAGATTACCAATATTAAAATATAATATATAGGAGTAATTACAACATATCTGGTCACAAATGCATTCAGAGGTCATTTATTCACGTTCGTCTTTTTCAATATGGGATTCTAAGATGTCAAGAAGCTACTCTTACCAGGATGTCCCATGCTGTTATTGTCTTGAGAAGTATCTGTGATGTCTTTTGAATGACTCTCAACCTTGCATGCCGTCAGATCTGCAGAACCACTCTGGTCCGGTGGAGCTGCTGCATGCAGATGGACTTCTGGCTGTGGGGTTTTAGAGTCTGCTTCAGGGATGCTGGAGGCTCCTGGGTTACAGAGGACAAGTGCCCCATTGCAGAGCGAGTCGTCCGCAGCAGAATGGACTTTGCTAATGTCATCCAGGACTGGCCCCGGCATGGCCAGGCCTTTGGATTCTTCTGCAGCCAAGACTGTGGGAATCAAACAAGAGGAATGTAAAACAAACATGTTTGATGCTCTTTGCAGCTGGATACACAGTTCGAAGCTGCTTCAAAGAAAAGCCTTCACACTGACTAGAAACTCCACAGTGATTCAACCTGTCAGTGAAATCACACATAAACAATTCAGGATATCTCTCATTAGACTGATCATATTTCGATTATCACATGTTCAGATTCCTAAAGTGGAACCAAAGCGTCTCAGTCCTCAGCAGAGGCTAAACGTTGTGTGCTATGAACAGTGACGTGTGAGACAACTGTTGCATATTTAGTTCACCCAGAAATTGACATATTGTCACTGAATTCCTGATGCAGATGCAGATTTTGCATCAATACTGGTCAACAGACTTCAAGGTGATGCAACTACATGATGCATTTTGAGTCAACTATGCGGTCTATGGGCCAGTACTTTAGTAAACTCTCACATGGATCAGTTGATTTGCAACAGACAGTGTGTGCCACCACTTATCCTAACTATCCAATCAGAGGCAGGGCAAGGTGGGTGTGGCTGTCCTTGGTGGATTAAGAAGTAGGTATATACTATGCTAATTGGAAGAAGTATACCTGCGTCTACCCTGCACTACACCACTGGCTGCAATATAAATCATAAATCTTGCCTCTTATGTTTGTGGATGGGACATGGACCAAATTAAAAAGTCAAGGTACTCTTTCATTTTCATGCAGTAATTTTTTAATTTTTGTTTTTAATTATATTTTTGATGCTATAAAACGGAGTGAAAGGTCACGATTGACAGCTAAGACTGACTCATGATTGGTTAAGTGTGTGTCATCGGTAGAAAAGTGCTTCCATGGTTCCATCCCCCAATTGCTACTCTGTAAAATGTAGTTTTGCATACTGTTGTATCCAAGATGTTTTGGCTTCATTATTTGGATAGTGGGGGTAAGTAGAGACATGTCGTCTATCTGATTATACAGTCTATGCCTTATAAGGGTCGTCAGCACTTATCACCACAAACTCTCTTGACATCTTCGTCGGTGTGTTTTTTTCATCAGGAGATATTTGTTTGCTTTTAGTTTTTTCATTCTTGCGTCTCTCGTGCATTAGAAGCATCATCAAACCCCAACTCGCTCACATTGAATCCAGATCCCATGCTGTGTTCACACATTGACTAATCCTGGATTTCTACGGACTTTGTACAAGGAGGCCAGGCGGAGAAAGTCTGTAGAAACTGCAAGGCATCTCACTCTGACATTTGCATTCACACATACACCTCCTCCGGAGAAAATACGGAGGCTCTACGGAGTCCAGTGCATGTCTGAAAGCAGCTTGACAGTGAAGCGGAGATAAGAGAGGAAAAAGTCAGTAACGTGAACGAGGTGATTAATGTCGAATGGTAACAACGTGTGAATACACAGGGTTTCCATGACGGACTGTCATAAATTTTTCTCGCTGCTGTTTCAGGAACAGAATAGAAGCAGCGGTTGGTTTGTACCAAGTCAGAGAATATTGACCATAAAATAAGTCACAACAATACAAAGCTAAAAGCTCATGTAACTCATAAGCACCTCATTCATGTTTAATCAGCTTGTTACATTTATTCAAGAGCATTTTTTGTTAACAGTGCCAGAGAGTCCATTTTATTTAATGTTGTCGTTGTGTTTGGTTTCTTTTATTTGTTTTGATATTTTAATATATTTTAAATCTAATTCAAATGTAAACTGAATATTCTAAAGAGTTAAGTTCATTGCTCTTTGAAAGGTTGTATGTGCATGATTATGCTATAAAACATTATATCCGTGGTATGTAAATAAATATGATGACAATAATATGATGTCAAATCATTTATCACACTCATTTCTGGGACAATATATCTTCCAACAAAATGTTTTATGGTGTCAGGCCTACCTTAATAATTCTAATGCACCAAGTCAGGTTTTCTTGCACAGTTACACATGTCCAAGCAAAATTGCTATTGTACAATAACATATCTTTAATAGATCTTGAATAGATGTTGAATCAAATCGATGAATCGAGAATTTGTGAATCAGAATCAGTTAATAAAAAACAATAATTTAATATGGCACTCGATGGATGTTGTGAAAATTAAAATGGCCCTTGATAGAAAAAAGTTCCACCTCTGGTTTAAGGCCTCAATCTATAATACCTAGCAAGGTTTCACACTTATTGCTATTGTGTGAATTAAATAAATGAGTTAAAATGTATTAATTAGTGAGATTCATAAATAAAGCTATTCAATTACAACTTATGCAACATATCAACGTACTGCATGCTTGTGTAGCAGGATGTGATAATCTGTAAGTGATGTTACCTTTCTCTGGCTGCCTGGAGGCTCCGGCCCACTCCTCCTTCAGCTTACCCCAGTTCACACTGAGCACCAGGATCTTATAGAGCAGACTGAGAGCTGCGACCACAGCAACCAGCAGGTGGTTCTGTACTGGATGAGGATCAAGGGAAAAACTGAGGATTTTCAGTGAGTAAGCGATACTCAGTAAAGCCAGGAGGAGACTGGACAGGAAAACCCCCACAGTCTGGAACCTGCTGTCGGCGAAGGAGACCCTGCAGTCGAGAGCTGGAGGAGAGATTGTGGGCGAAACGGATTGATTGGAGTCAAACTGTAGGGCTGCTTCATGGTTAGGCTGAGCAGTGGCGTTGGATGCCCTACAGGTGCTACTTAGAGATAAAGTGAATGCTTCTGCAGGCAGGGTGGGAGAAGGTGTTTCCGAGGAGGAGGAGGCCTGTGGAGACACCGTGGAGTCCACAGAGGAGGGAGCAGTTGGAGGATGAAGAACCATGCGCATGAGGATGAAGAACGTGTGGAAAGCGTCCACCAGGGTGATAATGGACTTGCAAAGCTGACTGATGACAACCTCGATCACCAGCAGCAGGATGGCAACTCCCAGCATGCACCAGTGGAGTGTCCTCATACCTGCAACTGAGAGTATAAGACCATCGAATGTACTTTAAATGAAGATGGACGACCTGACAAGAGTGAAGCCAAAGCATGTTGTTTGCCACCACAAATCCACCTCCTCCATGTTAATGGATGGGACATGGGCCAAAAAAACAGTTGATGTCAAACTAATTTTTCTCAAAGATGGTTTCTGTTATTTTGGATAGTTCAACATAAGTGCACCAACACCAATTACTAATTAAATTTAAGGGATTCCTTTCACAAACGTATGTCCTTTTTAAACTGTGTTTATGCTGTACTATTCTATATGAAGAAAATCTTCAATGTTTTTTAAATATTTAATTATTATCAAAATTAGTATCGGTCACAGGAGCCCAGCACCACATGATTTAACACAAACAGTAGGGTACACACAGTAAACAGTTAATTTGTATGAACAATGTCAATGCTGACACTATAGCCACTGTATATATACTTTAGGGAGGCAGTACAAAACTTTAAAAATGCAAATTGAACTAGTCGCAGAGAAAAATAATTTAAATCAATTTAAACTGAATGTATTGGCTCAGTTCAGCAAATTACTTTTCACAGTGTAAAATGTAATTAAAAATTGATGAATTTCCACCACTGATTAATTTAAGATTCCAAATTTACAATTATTAGAGCAGAGGATGAGACATTATTCTAAAAACAAATAATTCTGCTGAATGAGTACTTTTGGTACTTTAAAGGTTCAGTGTGTAGAATTCATTAACATCTAGTGGTGAAGTTGCATGTTGCAGATAAATACCCTTCACTTCACACTGTCCTTCCTGTGGTAGACCTCAGTTGATTTAAAAACTCTAACGGTGTTTAGTTTGTCCAGTCTGGGCTGCTGTAAAAACATGGTGGCCTGCGTAGAGAGGACCGGCTCCAGATGTGAATATAAAGGGTTCATTCTAGGGTAAAGCAAACTACAATTTATACAATTTAGATGAAACATATTAGTGAAAATATCACTAGGATTATTTTATATTCAATTGCTGCCAGTAGATCCCTTTCACCTAAATCTTACACACTGGGACTTTTAGTATATTTTGATGCAAATAATTTAGTACTTTTATATGAATAATATTTAAAAAAAATCTCAATACCTCTTCCCCCCTGCTGAGTGTAAGTCAGGATAAAAAACAGCAAGTACATGTAACACACAACAAACTATTTCAACAAATGTAGACAGTCTACATTTCCTTTCCTAAAGTGTAGTTACCCAGGAGAGTGGACGACCCTCGGCCAGAAATCAAAAGCAAGTGAGGCCCTTGGATGTGATCTGTGCGGCGAAATCTGAAAAATGTCACCTTGTTCTCCATCTCTCCCACCACACTCCTCCTCTGCTCTAATCGGAGTCATGTGAGCTGGAGAGGGGGTGGGTGGAGACATCCTCTCCTCAGTTATCCCTGTTTGCATTCCCCCCTAGGCTCCACGATGAGAGCCTTCACCGGAGGATCACACAGCCCACCCACCCTCCGTACACTCTGCAGATTGAGTGAAGCTAATTTGCACTAATTAAATCCCCATTGTGTTGTAAGGATTACATCATAACGTGAGACCCTCTCAGCTTTATTAACCCTCAAAGCCTCCACTGCTCTACCTGGTTAGAAACCCCAAGCTGTGAGTTCACAGTCGATCCAAACTGTATGAAAGACATTTCCAATTGCACCTTGGGAGAAAAGCCCACCATCAAGTTTGATCTGTTCACAGTTAAACACTCTAGTAATATTTAATCATTGGGATATTTGCAGTTTGCGTGGGCTATCATAGAATTCATGTTTTGCAGAATTTCTTCTGTTTCTTGTGTAGAACCTAAAAACAAAATCATAAAATTCTCATATTCTCTTCCACCTCTACTGGACAAAGCTGACTAAGAAGAGAAACATGCAGCTTTAAGATGTCATAAAATTATGAATTTACTGACCTTACAGCAAGCCAATGTCTTTTTGTGCAGATCCGCAGTCAAGGTGGCTCCAAGGTGGTGATGATGTTATACATTTGTTAAAATTAGCCACGATATGTTCCATGAAAGACTTTACCTCTCAACAGTGGTGGCTGGTAAAGAATATTCTTGGTGGGGCTGTGCCGTGCCATACTCAGTTTTCACTAACCATCCCACTACCATTAACACAAACTGCAAGATCCCAGTTCTTTGTGAAATAGTAGGTATCTATTTAATCAATAAACAATAATAAACATGTCAGTCATTTTTACACAAAAACAGATAGCTAACACTTTACTGCATACTGCACAAACAAACTTAGAAAACTAAACTTAGAAAACGAAATCAAAATAATATATACAAAAATAATAATTACAGCCTATTGATAAATAATGTAAATTATTAATAGTTGTTGCCCTTGTGCTCAGATAGTAAGTAGCGCATCATTAGACTACAGACTGAGTCGGGTTACTAGTGTTTGCTAAGTAACCATTCCTGAAACATACACAATGCTATTAACAAACACTGTTAAGACAAAATAAAAGAAGGTGCCATATACTGCTGTATATCTTCTGACTCATATTCTATACATCCTGCTAGCCACGCCTCTCTGCTGTACCAGTGACGGGAACAACCTCGGGTGTATGTTTTACCTTTTTCACTGGCTTGTTGGCTGATTTTAATATCAGGTTAATCTGGTCCACTTTCTTTAATTCACAGTTTTTCAACCAAAGTTTTCTTCTCGAATGGAGGTTGGAGAAGAGATTGTACCAAATTTGGCGGCTGCGATATAACACTCTCCACAAGGGAGGGCGGCGCCCTAGTGCCCTCCATTGACCAACCGCCCCTGCCCCTCAAACTGTTTCACTACAAAGAAGCTTTTTGTCTGCTGCTGCATGTTGACCTGCTTGTGACGTGGCCACACGACTCCTCTGAACTTTCTGCAGACTTCATACTTTCGGAATAAAGTCAGCAGAAACTACGAACATTTGGGTTTGCACATACACCAGGAGTTCCTCTGGAGGATCTCTGGAGTTCAGTGCATGTCTGAAAGCAGACATGGAGATACAATCAAGAGAAAGAGGCTGCATCCCTCCTATTCCAATTCAGTGAACCATCAAATAATGGTGAATCTGCTGTTTCAAGAGTAGAGCAATTGATAATGTCTCTTAAAATCATCTGTATCCAACAAGGTTGCCACCACAAGTTCATTTCCTACACTAGTCACAGGCTAAACTCTTTGTAGGAGGAATAATGTGACATCCTGTCCTCCTTAATGAGAATGTTTAAGGAATATATTAAATGCACTTTACCTCATTCATACCAACAGTGAAATTGAAATTGGCCGTTGCATTTTGTCTTTTGCATTTACTGGCACTGTCAGGTTCTGTTCAGGTGGCACATCCTCTAATGGTGAGTCCCATGAGCCCCTGCTTATGTGAGCCAGCGTGCAGGGATCTATTGCAGTCCACTGGACTGCGAATCAACAGTCCAGATAAAGGCTGACACCACGGATAAATTCCTACTGTTCTCCCAGCAGGCCAGCACATTCCTGAGGCACGGCTAAGCCCGAGGAAAGACCCAGCGAGGAAGCATTTGATGACTTACCACTGTCCCTGCACAGAAAGCGAGGCTGCAGGCAGAGCGGCCTGCGTGAACCTTTAGCCTCAAAAAGCCACTTTTCAGTTCACACTGTTCCACCGCAGATCTCAAATATTAAAAAGTCTCCATAAAAATTGAACTCTCATCAGCTAATGAAGGATATGAGATGTGACTGGAGAAAAGAAAAGTGTAAATAGGTGAAATGATTTTTTTATGGTCAAATTCCCAAGATCAAGACAAAACATCACGCTCCTCAAATAAAAATGTTTTGGTTAAAAATGTTGGATGTTTGATTATCAAAATTGATGCAGATACATTTTCTTTTGATCAACTCATCATTTCATCATTTTAACACTGGTCTCCCACAATTTCTGTTTCTGGAAACATTTCCCAACATTCCCTTTTTGCTCTTGAGCAACATAAATATCTTAATCATGTGTCTATTTTTTCATACTATTGCAATTTTACACCAAATATAATCTCTATATCTACCTTGTTTGTATTTCATACATTTAGTTTTATACATTTGTGTATTAAGTGTTTTTTCATCTTTCCTGTAGTTTTATCCCAATAATTTCACTTTTTGTTCCTTTGTGCAAACCAATCAGGTCACAGTGCAGCCAATGACCGCTCCACGTTCATGAAACAACATACTTGATCCTGATCCTGTTTGAAAAGAATTCCTGCTTCTTCTTCCAGTCAGCCGAGGAAATTAAACTGGGTCGTTGTCTGACGTCTGTGGATCCAACAAAACCCACTCAGGCAGAAAACGTCCCATTCATGCTCGTTCACCCTGAGGTGCACAATCACATGTTTCAATGTAGACAGAGGCAGCAGTTCAGAAGCTTCTCTGCCATATGATGAGTCACAAGAAAACAGAAAACAGGAGGTCAACAGAACAGGGAAATGTAGGAAATGTTTTATTTATTTTTCCACCAGTTTTACATGTTTCTGTCCAACCATTCTTTAAAAGCCCTACTGAACAACAGATATTGACACTCACTGTACGGAGGCTTTAAATATGTTTTTCGTAACAGAAATGATTTCACTGTCTTTGTTAATAGACAGATGTTTTTCCTTTTGTGAAACAGAATGTGGAATCGCACACGAACCCTCTAAAACAATTATTAAAAATTAGCTCTATAAACCAAAAAAAAAAGATAAATTATAAAAAGAGACAGGCTGAGGGAAGTGAGATGAAAAAAATAAAAAACATATAAAGTAAATTTTTCAGTGGTGTTTATATGGACACGTTTTCTTCAGAGACAACACTACGATAGAAAGGAAAGGAGGAGGGGACTGGAATCTGTGACCAGTAGATCCTTTACTGTGTGGTTGAAATATAAAAACTCTTTCAAGGCAGGAATCGTATACACCGTTAAAAACAATACATTCTCTATCCTGTATAGTTATATCTATTCAGGCCAGTGGTTCCCCTGTGTGTGTGTGTGTGTGTGTCCGGTGAAATATTCTTGCAGAGTGAGATGAAAAGATCCAACATGTGACACCACTCTCATGTCCGAGTCCTGAAGATGACGGTATAGCAGTGGAGCTTCATATTTAGCTACATCTTCTGATATGCATCTTAGATTAACATCAGACTGGACTCATTGCTCAGAAGCTGCACCACATGTCACACTCTGGATAGATATTATTTCCCTATTTAAAAAAATAAAGATTCACGGTTTATTCTCTGAAAAATCTGTGAAGATGTGAAAAAAGCTCCATCTCGCTATGTAAAAGAATGATAATATATATGTTAATATGTTTGGGCACATCGTCTGATCTGATTTCATGGGTTGTTCCCTGACGCACACTTCATCCTGTCATTGAGTTTCGTGTTAAATCATCCAGTATTTTCTCCTTGGTGGAGGGAACCAGCATCACTCTGCCCCAAGGTGAAAAATCATTGACACATTATATCTTGCTTGGCCAAAACTCATGTACATGCAAAAAAACAAAGATGTGGTTTACTGTTCTTTTTTTAAACTTGAGGCAGCGAAACCAAAGTTTTCTTGATGTTTTACTTCACTGGTAGAAAAACATTGTCAGTAAACATAACCCAGGCATTAGTTTTCCACGAATTATCAGCAAATATTTGATCTTGAGACATTGGTTCTCAAAGCAAATGTAGATTTACATACTGAAGCGTCATAAGAGACAAAAAGTTTCTTATCCAGCTTCAGTATGAAAATCAAGCCTGTTACATGTTCGGCACCTTTAACGGCCCGGGATCATGTAAAGTGTTGAGGTCATTTCAGATCATGTGTTAATGACTTTCTCACAGCCTCCTGTAGTGTTGGAGGATTGTGGAGCAGGGATGGATTAGTGCAGTCTGGAATTCTTTCAGAGGAGAATTACAGTGAGATGTACAGAGCAGAGCTCCCACCCTGTACTCAGCCCCCCCGCCACTGCTACACACCCTGCAGACCCAGGAGACGTGAACCCCCTCACCCCGCACCACCCACATCACGCCAGCGACAGAGGAAGGTTCCAGGAAAACCTCTCTCTCCAGATTCCTTCTCCAGTGTTTGTTTTCTCTAACTTTCAAAAGGACTGAAACCTGCGATCAAAAAAAATTCCAAGAGACAAAGGAAGTAGAAGTGGGATGTCTAAAAGATTTACATAATGTGTTTTTAGTTTCCCTCCTCCTGTTTAAATTTGCACACTACAGGCTGTGAACCACTTTATGGAAAGAATTTCCTTTAAACAATGACATGCAATTTTATTTCCTAACTTATTTCAGCAGTGGCTCTCTCCTAAGTCTGTTCCAACACTTCACTCAA